GTTTTGTTTAATTGACACACTTAAGAAATAATATATATATATATATATATATATATATATATATATATATATATATGTGTGTGTGTGTGTGCGTGTATTTGTGCCTGCGTGAGCGCGTGTGTGTGTATGTATGTGTGTGTACGCGCGCGTTTTGCTACCAATCCTGAATCGTCGCGACTTCTGTAAGGCAAGAATTAAATATTGTTAGCTTGCAAAACTTGAACGGTAACCCCCCCTCCATTTCCCTCTTGTTAAGCGCACGCGCGCACACACACACACACATACACACTCATATATATATATCCTAGCAGTAGAGCCCGGCGTTGCCCGGGGATATAACAGTAAGAGATAGATCAAGTATCGACCATCATAAAGACTGAAAAATAAAATCGACAAAGATTAATGTTTAAGGTTGACAGACACGCATGTCTGAATTTTTTTTTTTTTTTTTTTTTTACGAATTGGTCAAACCCAAACTCAAAGAAAAACATTGTTTTCAATCGTTATGAGTCTATCAATTGAATAGAATTTTATTATAAACAAATGTCTTGTAAATGGAATTTTTAAAGCATTCTGAATGTAAAAATAAAGAAAAAAGTGTGCAAGACAATAAGAAACACTACCTGCCAAAAAAGTGAAGTTCTGTTGAAATCGGTTGAAAAATGTCGGAAATCCGATCCCATATATAAACGAACACACACACACACTCACACACGCGCGCGCGTGCGCAAACAATCTTCCTAGGTTTTATAATAATTATATAATTCGATAACTCGATATTAATAAGTATAACTCGATATGAGTTGTCTCCCTTTCATTAATGCCTCTTAATCATGTTTTCAAATTGATTTCGTGCAAAAAACAATTGTGTTTTTCAATTTTTTCGCGCTGTCAGAACCACCGCAAGGTAATTTTACGTAGTCCTGTGAAGGTTTGTTGAAATCGGTTTGAAAAATGTAGGAAATCTGATCCAATATATAAACGTACAGACACACACACACAAACACACACACACACACACACACACACACACACGTTTTATAATAAGTAAGATATATATATATATATATATATATATATATATATATATATATATATATATATATATATATAATATCATGTTCTTCCATTTCGATCTCTTCGCCCCTTCCAAAGATTTCATCTTACTCTTCATATCTATTATCTGTTATGGTTTGTATTCTTCTTGTCTCCTAAAATCAGGCAGATTACACTTTCTATGATGTGATTATTTTTTTTTAAGTTTTAAGAATAAAGCCAACATTATAGATATAATCCGCAAGTTGTTGTATATTCCCGTGGAGAAAAAAAACTGCTTCGTACGCGGACAAACATGTCTTCGTCACAATCTTTCAACCGAATCCTTTTAAAATGTTTCTTGCCAACGGGGTATGGATATCATGCCTCAATCTGTATATTTGTCATAAATAGCGTCAACTCTATCTTCCATCTTTGTTGCAAACATGAAACTTTAATTTTAGAGCTTATTTAAGGGCATTCTTCGTTTTATTTTGTTTTTTTGTTTTTTCTTGTCCCACACCACTCAACATCACGGGACACGTTAGAATCGGTCGGCATCGCGGAACAAAATCAAGAAGATAAAATCTGACATTTTGAGCGGCCATCTTAGAAGGGTGCGAATCTTTCACTTTTACTCATTATATAACAAGTTGGCTTTTCTAAAGCTTAAAATTGAAAGAGAAAAGGTACAAATCAAAATAAATAAATCAAGAAAAAATATAATCGTCTGCCACTCGCAAATAAAATGTTATCAGCGATATATCTGGTTGATAGCGCTGACGTGTCTACTGATCAGATCATATTCCTTGCCCTAAAATAATTCGTACAGGTACTATCCAATTGATAACTGATTGATTTAAACAATTAAAGTGTTTTGCTTTACAGCTTTTTTGGCAAAGTGGCGACAGTTAGAATGATCATTCATTAGGTAAATTTATGTGTTTATATAGATAAAAATGTATTGTAAATAGAAAATAAACATCGCCAGGAAAACCCAAATAGTTTGTGCGATAAAAGTAAAATATATCTGATGTCGAAGAACTGATTTTGGTTTTTAGTATTAGCAAATCTATAAGAAATTTTATTTAATGAAATATTTCCAAGCATTGTGTTTTGGGTACATAATCTAGCCGATTTCACTTGGAGTCTTTTTCTTTATGTTTCCATCACTTTTCTTATTAAATATCTCACATTGTGATAATAATAATCTGAAACGTTGAAAGAAGCTGATCGTAAATTTACTGTGGATCATCTAGCGATTAAAGCAATTTCTATATATTTTCGACTTATTACATTCTTTTGTCTTTCCATTAGATTAGCATTTTGACTCGCATTCTTTTTTTATCTCAATTTATTCAAAAAATAAGTACGTAAAAATTCGCCTTTCTTTCAGCCGTGCGCCGATGGCTTAGGAGGAAAATCTCCGACTGTTGCCGAATCAGTTTGGTTTTTGATCCCGGCT